TATTTTATTACTATTTTTGCAGTAATTTTATTACTATTTTTAGTTAATATACTGCAGTTGATCCACTATTTTATATGTATTTTCGACTATTTTTTACCTATTTTATGTATATTTAAAATCTATTTTATTACCAATATTTCACTTTACTTTATTATTTCATTTCTATTTTGCACTCTATTTTAAATATATTTTATCCTATTTTAAACCTATTTTAATCTGTGCTTCACCGATTCAGAAAATAAAATCTATTTAAAATAGGCTATTTTTTGTTTCAAAAAAACCTATTTATAATAGCCATAAAATACAATTAAAACAGAGTTCTAATAGGTTTAATATAGGATTTGTATATGTGATAGCAATATGATAGGGTTAAAAATAAAATAGCTTTTCTATAGGAATAAAATAGAAAGTAAAATAGGGTTAAAATAGTGTTGATTTTCGTAAGGGAACTCACGATAAGTATAGAGCTCTGTAAACTCTCCTCAAATGACCAAATACCAGTCGCTTCATACTCACCTATTGTGACAAGATATGGCCATAACCGGTACTGCTAGCATCAGAATATATTACGGCATGAGCAGTAAAAGAACGAATAATAGAATAACCGTTAAAATGATGAATATTGTTGAGCCAAAATTGAAGCTCGTCTTTAACACCAGCGTAAGCTAAAACAACAACATTCCACGAAGAACTAGTCGCAATACAGGCGTACATATTCCTAGTAAACAAGCGAACAACTGGGCCAATGGCCAAAGACAGGGAATTTAAAAAACCACAAAGTTTAGCTGATTTCAAAACAGAAACTTTGGGAAATGAAGGCAAATTGAATTCAATTTGCACAATTGCTTTATTTAACTTTTTGGTTGGAATCTGAAATTGCATGCGAACTGTGTTAATAAGTAAACCCAACCATTCACCGATTTGAAGGGGCTCCCACTGACATTTACGATCAGATGGCTTCCAACCAGATTGATTCAAATCCCGCTGAATTGTTGCACTATAATTTACAGCAACCTGCTTCCATGCATCACCAGAAATGCCATCATCACTCAGTAAAAAGGTAACAAGCTGACGACAAGCCAAACGGCAACACGTTAAATATAAAATAACGCACACGACCATTGGGCCAAACAAACGAGAAGCCCAGATATTTCCGACTATTAGGATGAATATCTATATGAAATAATATGATGATATCCCGACTCAATATCAAATGTAAAAAAACAAAAAGCTTGGCCAAACATCTCAGCCAATATGACGAGATTTTCATACTTAAACTTATCATACTGTACAAAAGGATTTACAGACCGAGACAAATCTATGACAAGCCTTTTCTTTTTCCCTACCACAACGGTCAAAGGATTACAACAATAAGGCACTTCGTTACATTCTGTCACACAATTAGCAGCAATTAACGCTGTTATAGCTTCAATAACAAACTCTTAATTCTTTAATCACTTGCATTGTTCTTTAAATAACATCTGGGTGGTTCCTCCACAAATGGAATTTCATATCCAAATTCTAATACATTCATGGATAATTTAGACAATTATAAATTATCATACCACCACTGTTTACAAGCAGAAAGTCTACCACGAACACTAAAATTACTACGAATATTGTTGCTAATATTAGAACACACAACGTCCAAAAAGTCATTAGTTCTATTAAAGTCCTGTTGAGTATCGAGATGCAGCAACATTGGCGGCACTTGAGGGTGTGATTGGGACAAGTTGGCGGCTGTTAACTCCTGTTGTGGGGATTCGCATTGGGCAGACACGCCTGTAATGACCATATCGCCCGCATGAGTGACAAGGTCCAAACATTTGTTTGGGTGATCTGAATAACATGGAATTTAATAAACGAGAATTTGGAGAAGGTATACGATAGTTACTATTAAACATTAGCGGAGAACCGCCATTCATGGCCGCCGATGACGATCGATGTGCCGGTTTTTCGATTAAGTTTAATGCGATTCTGCACACGAGAAGACGTAACTTTTTTAACACATTCTTAATATGTTTTTCATCGTCAGAGTTGGATGCAATTTCATCGCGTTGGTATTCCTTAACGAAATCCCAGCCATTTTTGTCCGCTAGGATAATAAGTTTTGAACGTTTGTCTACTAACAACATACGTTCCTGTAAAGGTATCCGGACATTTTGCCGAAAGACACTTTGCCGAAAGACACTTTGCCGAAAGACATTTTGCCGAACGGACATTTTGCCGACGGTCATTTTGCCGAACGGACATTTCGCCGAACGGACATTTTGCCGACGGTCATTTTGCGGAACGGACATTTTGCCGAACGGACAGTTTGCCGAAAGGACAACTTGCCGAATATAAAGATGTTATTTCGTCAAAGTGTTTGGGACTGTGACTCATTTCTCAACTGTGTAATTCTCAACCATTGTGTAAAATAACCATTATATGGTTATTAGCAGTGCATATAATGGTCATTAGCTGTACATAATGGTTGTTAGCAGTGCATTACCATATTGACTATTGGTAGCTTGTTGGTGCAGCGGATGACTCATTTGTTTGGAACGTGTTTTGACGTCAGATCGTAAACAAACAACTGTAATACTATATAAAGACGACGTAAGCGAATTTCACTTCGAGAATCATGGAATACATTCACAATTCTCGGGGAAATCACATTCATGAATGATGTTGAATGATGTTGTTCTTTATATCGCGAATTTTCGGTAAACTTGTCAAAAACTTCAATCGCTTGTTCGTATTAGCTAACCACAGCATCAAAGGCTGATTGCAAAGCTTCTTTCACGTCTGTCTGATGATCAAACTGCTGCTGATTCCCCACATGTTTAAATTCATACTTCTTTCCGGTCTTCATTTTCTTCGCCATACGTACTAGATTTTCTTCATTCTCAATGAATAGATCCCGCTTCAAAGACGAGATCTTCGTCTCTATAAAATTTTCCAATCTGGCTAAGGCTTCAGCCACAGGAGTAGATTGTACTTCGTTTTCTTCTAGTGAAATCTCATCGGTGGCACTTGAGGCCATATATAGTTTGAGCTGTCAACTGCACTTACCGAGATACTTCTCTTGAACAGCAACGCTCTTTTATACTCTTGCTTCAGACGACACCGCCTGCTTAGGAATACTGCTTTGACGTAATGAATATACTTTCCCACTACACTGCGTACCGTAGGAAACTACTTATTATATTGATGTGATATTGAGGGCTTGCAAATTTAGCCAAATTCACCGATAAAAGAAATACTCAACAATCATGTAACTTGCTGAAGACGGTAAGTTTTATTTAATTCTCTCAGGGTACATGAATTTGTTCATTATTATATAGTATGCAGACACTGAGACAAGCAAAATATATAAGGCGAAATGTGGCTTCCCAAGTGAGCTGTCTCCGGTAGAAACTTCGGCGCACAAGTTGAGAAATTCAGACTAAAATGATCAATATACCCGTTTTAAAAAAAGATAGATAAGCCATGAATGAGATAAAGAAGGGAAACAATGAATTTCAATGATAAAAGTTTGCCAACATTGCGAATATGTTCGAAATAATAAGACACTCAGCAACCGGATATTGTTGACGCTCGAATGCGCACATTTAGCAGTCGAAAATCAAATGTATCAAAACACAGAATTAACGAAATCTGTCAGAGAGATGAAGATACGATTAGCTAAACTTAAGGAACAAAATTTCACCTCAAACACTGCCATAACTACCAGCCAGGTCTATTCTGTTTACTGAATGAGTTTCGGGTTTGTGGCAAACAGTCAATGAGTCAAAGACCTCCTACCCCTTGCAAAGCTTTTAATGTATTTCAAAGGCTGGCCGTGGCGCCGTGGGACCCATGTTTTGGGGGGGGCCAAGGGCAGTACTTTTCCAACAAACCGAAAACTCGTTTCCGACAGGCCTCCCCCCTCGCCAAAAAAAATTCGGTCAGTCTATCATTTTAGGGATCAAAAATTTTTTCCGGACATACCAAAATTTTTCGTTACATTAAAAATTTTTCCGGACATCACCAGTTTTCTCCATTTATCCAAAATTCTCGGAATATACTAACCTCGCCAACTTTGGTAATTTCCGACAACGTTAAAAAATTTTCCGAAAATTTCCGACAACATAGACAATTTTCCGACGGGTCTCGTCGACTGGCCCCTCGGCCACGGCCCCACTAAAGCTGGGTGTCTTCATCAGTGCTAATAATATACTAAATATAAAGTTTCTGACTTAAGGATCGATTTAAAATAATAAATACGCGTGAGGTTTTTTACAATCAAAGACAAGTATTATATTCATTCACCTTGCCCATATGTAATATGAAACCTAGTATACATTGTATGTATGATGTTTATATCTGACATATAACTATTCAGACTACAAAACGCGGGAGCGGTTTAAAAAACGTTGCAGAAAAGTCACAATTATTTGTTTGAAAATGACACTTTTGCCCTAACGATTTGAGTACGGTGTCCCAGGATTTTCGCCACCCCCACAATTTCGGCTCCCGGGGGGGGGGGCAAAACTTCACCTTCTCTTTAGGATTTTCGTCCTCCGTTCAAAATTTCGTCCTTCCTAACAGTTGTATGGGATAATTATTAGATGGCCTTAATCATTTGAAATCAGTATCAATTCAATATTGGTAAGAAAGAACTTAAAATAACAACCGATCACCGATCAATGATTGGCAAGGAATTGTTTTATGATCGGCGGAAAAGCTGGGTTTCGGTTTCAACCTGAAAAAAGCAGGGAAACTCATGACTGCCAATCACCATGATCGAGAACTTTGTGAACGTTATTTCAAGCTAGCCCTGTAAGAATACAAATTTACAATTACATGTATCGAAAGGGCTTACGCAGTTACAGTAGATCAATAGGACTTATGACGCTTCACAGCACACCATGCATATTTTGTCGTTGTTGGAAAATGTATGGCTTATAAGTTGTCACTATTTTTTACTTGCATTATTTCAATATAGTTTGTAAATCTCAGAAGCGAAGGGTGGAATTTGCCAATAGGCAATACTCCAATAATATACGTTTCAAAAAAGGAAAAAAGCTTTTAATTTTGCAGAGTGACATTCTCATATGTTTAAGGCACTAATAAAATCAAAGTAACATGAAATTATTATATAAAAAATAAATAAATTATTATGCTTTTAATAAACTTTTTACAATAGATGGGTAGCGATTCAACTGCCTGGAAACACAAGCAAAACGTCGGCATTTGGAGCGAAGGCCCTTCGACTTTGTCTGGAAATTAATAGTAGACGAAGACCGTTCAAAATTATATTGTGCTTTGCACCTGTATGGCTGTACTACAGTCATAAGTAATGCAGTATTAAATATAATAAATGACTTAGGAAAAGTAAATAGACCCCTTCCCGTATACACGTTAGCAGGCAAATGTATTTTAAAAGCTCCAAAGAGAGGTTCGTATTATTATGGTGTATTAAACACAATGGGGAATGTATTATTTTATATAATCGTAATTTGCCAGCCAGTAAAATATAAACAAGGCAAGGACAGCCAAGGTTTTATACTCTATACTATACTGTATTGGCATTCACCCAGACCATGGCAATATCACACAATATACAAGAATTCACCTGGGCAGGTTCTGCCTTTTCTCCAGCACAATTGATCAAATCATGCGCATTCATTACTGCCAATCCCTTTATTATTTATGTCTCATTACAATTGGTATGTACAATATATTTTCATTATCAGCAGTATCATTACAACTTGTGCATCACCAGTACTAGTATCATCACAACTTGTATTTCACTAGCATCATCATCATTATTATTTACTCTCACCATTCTAATTTTATTTATAGTCAATCACAATGAATCAAAAATTTCCTATCACACCACTCGTATTACTTAATTCAGGGTTAAAGCCATTTTACAGCACTCCAGGATCTGAATACCTGCAACCACCTTTTCGATCTTATTCTAGAACAGGAACAAATGTAATTGTTTTTGTTTGTGGAAACACCACGTAAATTTATTACTGCAAAGCTTTCGATCCGTAAGCCCGGATCTTCATCAGTGCTAATAATATGTGACTTGTTTAATTCACACGCTCTTTTTATATACAAGAGTGTCGTACGTAAACCTAATGCCCACTAAGACCTATTGTAGCGTCCATAGGTTCGCCGACGTATGCCCTGGCTAAATATCTCGCTGAGATATTGAAACCAGTTGTTGGAAAAACAGATCATCATGTAGTAAATTCTAAAGAATTTGTAACAAAAATGGAACAAATTAGATTGGGTAAGAATGACATTCTGGTAAGTTTTGACGTAGTTAGCTTGTTCACTAATGTTCCAGTTGAAGAGGCTTGTAACATCGCGAAAGAAAGCAGACTTCTTTCAGATATTACATTATCTCAAAGGACTAATCTTTCTCCTGAGAATGTTCATGATTTGTTGAAACTATGTTTGACCACGACATGTTTTCAATGGCGGGAGAAATTCTATGAACAAACAAACGGCGCTCCAATGGGAAGTCCATTGTCGCCTGTTATGGCCAATTTGTTCATGGAGGAATTTGAAAAGAAGGCCTTAGCTACTGCAAAGTTGAAACCAGGTTTCTGGTTCAGATACGTGGATGATACATTGAGTAGCTGGTCTCATGGACTAGATAATTTACAAAAGTTTCTAGACCACATTAATAGTTTGCATCCATCAATCAAGTTTACTTTTGAAGTACAGAAGGATGATAAAACTATACCATTCTAAGATTTCTTAGATGTTCTTTTCACTATACATGATGATGGGTCGCTAGGACATAAGGTTTATAGGAAACCAACACATACAGACAGGTATCTGCATTATAATTCATTTCATCATCCCAGTATTAAAAACTCTGTGTGTAAGACATTCATCAACCGAGCGAAAACAATTTGTGAGGTAAGTAACATTGACGATGAATTAGAACATTTAAGAAATGTTCTAAAAATGAATGGTTACCCACGACATTTCATAGATAATGCTATGAAATCGCCACAAAGTATACAGCAGAAGATTGAATATCAGTCGTCTGTTTGTCTACCATACATTGGTCCGGCTTCACACAAAATCGAAAGAATTTTGAGGAATGAAGCAGGTATAAAGGTATACCATTCCAGCGAAAACAAATTGTTTCGAGCTCTTTGCACACATAAGGACAACGTAAATGTATCTCAGAAACCTGGTGTGTACCGCATTCCTTGTGAATGTGGTCTGGTTTACATTGGTGAAACTGGTCGAAATCTCTCAGTACGTCTTAAGGAACACACGACGAATTGCGAGAAAGCCGAGCAAGATAAATCTGCTGTGGCTAAACATACTTGGACTTACGACCATCGTATAAAATGGGACGAAGCAACCATTTTGGCGATTGATAGTCATAAGTTCTCTCGCAAAATGAGAGAGTCAATTGAAATCGAGAAGCATAATACTATAGATCAGGTGCGAAAGCCACTAGATAGTACGTGGAGTGCTCTCTTTAATGTGCAAAATTAATTTCTCTTGTCTTGGATGCGCGCGCGTTAATTGAATCACTTCATTACGTTTGAAATGACGTGGTTGATGTGCCGTTTAATTGAATTTCAAATGACGCGAGCCAACAGATCACGATACTCTTGTATATAAAAAGAGCGTGTGAATTAAATTAAACAAGTCACATATTATTAGCACTGATGAAGATCCGGGCTTACGGATCGAAAGCTTTTCAGTAATAAATTTACGTGGTGTTTCCACAAACAAAAACAATTATATTTTATCGCCATGCAAACGTTCAAAGAACTTATTAGGAACAAATGTCTTACGCTGGAATGTCATTCCCATAAAATGACCGTCATTTGAAACCACATTCTGCTGTATTTGTAGTAACAGCACAACTGCTCAAGGTCGCAACTAAGGTGAATA